GGTGTGAAAGCACCCTAACAGAGATCACCAGTGTTTAAAGTCCCTCCCAATGCAGAGTTTGCCGCAATAACATTACCTGACTTTGCTCATATTTTCAAAGTTGAATTGCCTCTCTAATATCTCCGAAAGTCAGACAAAGGCAAAATCACGGCAACATAGATTTGATAGTGTACTTTTCAAACTCTTTATGCAAACGTGGAGATTAAAAAACACCTTTAATCGCAGTCATATAACGTGTTTTGGAGGACAAAAATGAGAAGATGTTTTTCTGGTTTACCTTTTGAATTGTAAAGCATTACAGGTAAAGCAGCTTGATTCCCCGCTGGCAGCATATTTTGTCAAATCTCCGTGAGTTTGTAATACAATAAGGAAGTGCTACAGGCATTAAATAATAGATTAATATTTTATCTAAAAAACTTTGAAGCCGCTAGGATCCAGGTATGGTTGTAACCCCAGAGCTCAGTGTGATAGAGCACATGGTGTTCATTCTCCACACTTGATTTACTGCTGTGACTGGTTTAAAAGAAAGACAATAGGATTGGTGCTATTGATAATTAGTTTTTAATGTGCCACACTCATCATGTCCAATTTCATGCCCCTTAGGCAGCTGATCACAGATTTAATCAACACATTATTGCTTGCTATACTTATACTGACTGAAGGGAGGGCTTCTCTGTGTATGTGTGTGTGTGTGTGTGTGTATGCTGGTAGTAGGAGTGTGAAGGGGACACAGAGTTTTAGTGTGTGTTAGTGTGGTCGAGGAGCTTGCGAGAGTGGTTGTCAGCATGTGCATCCATCCCAGCAACGTCCTTCTTTGATAGACATTGAATATGTGTTCCAGGCCATTAACCAAGAGCTACGTTTGAAGATGATGCGCTTGGTAGCGTGTGGTTATGCTGTGTCGAAGGAAGCCATTGTTGTTATTGTGTTTCTAGTGAAGAGGAGGGTGTCCAGGCCTCCCTCACCTGATGAATACAGATGAAAGAGAGGCTGTTGTGTCTGTTTATGTCTATAGACCACTCTCATAACACCTGGGACGTTTTGTGTTTCTTTTTTGTGTGAGGTTGGCTCTTTTTTAAAAATGTATTTTTGCTTGCTGCAGACTGTTAGACAAATGCTCAGAGGTGATAACAAATGAAACATTGTTTTAAATTCATAGGTATTAAAGGCCCTCTTCCATTGCAGCATATCAATAAATTCTTTAGGTGCACTAGTAAAAAAAAAAAAAAAAAAGTATTATGCAATAAAATATCTCTATGGTCCACACAAGACATCCCAACAGCTGCTGTCATACAATGTGGTGTGGATATTCAAGGTCACACAAGATTATTTGCAATGATTTTAGTAATCCCCAACCTTTTGTCCAGCAAGTGAAGTTGGTAGGGACTGGTTTAACTGGTTTAACGTAGTTTGAGTCAGTGGATCCTCAGCCAGCCAATAACAATAAACAATAAAGTTAGGATGACCTACTGACTAATATATTCTAATTAAATTGGTCACCATGCATAACATGTGTTTCATGTGTGTCATGCTCTAACATGGCAGGGCATCAAAAGGTTTCTAGAACTAAGACTTACAAATAGTTAATAAACATTTTCAGAAGGCTCAAATCCATAGGAAATATAGTTTCAGTAGTAACCAACTATTAGCTCTTGTATAGAGCAGTGGCCGTGCTGTGTTTCCTTTTATTTGTGGTTACATTTGTTTTCTCTTGGGAGTATGGCAGTATCGTAAGCTCACAAATTACAGATGGTTGATTAAAGTCGTAAAGGATGAGTCCAATTTAATACAAGTTGAGTCACATTTTTGTACATTGTCTCTGTACAGTATGTCTGTATGTTGTACAACATCATTGCAACAAAATCTGACAGGGCACGAAACAAGAACAGTTAGATCATTGGACAGGTTGTAAACAAGTTCTTTACTTTATTTGGTGGTAAAAGCCAAAGTAAGTGCACCACAAAATGCGTTCTGTACATTTGTATAATTGTAATTTTGCTTTTGTAAAGTTTGAAAAACTCCCATCTTTCTCTTTCATTGTCAGTGTTAAGGACTGTTTTTAACTCTAATCATTTACACTTTTGTGCTTGACTGCTACTGGTTTTGTGCCTGATAAAAACTTCACAAGTTAGTATTGACCACTGCTCACTACAAAGAGACTATAATATGTTGTCAGACTAGGGAGTGAGTATAGAGGAAGAGGAACAGGAAGAGGCAGAAAATAAGACAACTGGAGCCAGAAAGAGTAGTGGCTGTGTTTATCTTGAACTACTTAGCTCCCTGGCTGTGACTTTAATGTAGAGAGAGACATTGGGAGGTAGTGGAGGCCTTCATTAAATGCAGCTCAGGCCCTGGTGAAACCCTGGTTAATGTCCCTATCATCTCTGGAGTGGTCCAGTGTCTAGCTCTCTGTCCAAATGACTCATGTTTAATACATCTCTGCAGTCCTTGTCATTTAACCTCACCTCTGGAGGTTGTAGGTCGGGGTGGGATAGCGAAGGCTCCCACAAGACCATAAGGGGCAAAGCAACCATGCAGTTATTCTCCACCCGCACTCCATTTACTTAAAATGGGGAGAGCTGCTCCATGTCTCACCCTTGCTGTGTAATCTCCCCAAAGCAAAACCCCCTAACCCCATCGCACTGCACTAACCTGAATTCGAGGGGGGCCTGGGTTGACTATGTGGCTCTCTGAAGCACTTCTCACACATTCTGCTTCCTGTGTGCTACGGTTGAATTCTTAAGCAAGGAACAACTGCTATGCTGCTGATGCTATGTTGGGACACTTTATGACTTAGCAGTTTTCTCTCTCTGTGAGCATGCCAGTTTATATTTTTTGGTAAAAGTTTTCCGATGAGATTGAAGGCTATCAAACTCCATCAACCTTAATGTTTTGTTGGAACTGCCAGAGCTTCTTAGATTGTATTCAAATTGTATGAATATAAATTTGTTATGCTCATTAAACACTAAACAGTTAGAAAATGAATGCAGTGGCTTGGAAATTAATGTAAATTCTATTTGTGACGTGGTCAGACGAGTCTGTTGGAAGCATGCTGAGGCCTTTAGTCTCGCAGATATACATGTCCAGGGATTTAGGAAAAGCAACAATCCAAGAAGATACATCTTTACTACAAATGGGGCTGTGTAACAGGATGTAAAAGAGCTTAAATTGTACTCTTTCTTTCACTTGATCTTCATGCTGCATTTTCCTCCGATTCTCCCTGCTTACATGCAAAGACTGCTTCCCTCTTACTCCTCTTCTCCCTCACTTACACACACCCACTCAATCTCTGCCTCTCTTTCTTGCTCTGGATAATGGTAATTAGAATATCTCCATGATTGAAATTTGGCAAAAGTTGAAGAGGAAATAGGTTTTCTAATCAAAAGCTGCCTCGTAGCTGGAATCCTGATGCTTACTTGGCTGAAAAATGTGCTTCAACGATGGGGGCCTAAACGGATGCCAGACTGTATACTGAGGGCCAATGCTGCTCTTTCCCTGCAATGTTGTATTTTATACACGTCCCAGTTGAGCTTGTTTCAGCAAGTTTTCACTTATTTATTTAGAAATGTGTGTTTTGCTGTCGTTTTTGTAATGGTTTACCTCCAGGGGTGGTGTTATTTTGTAGACTTTTGGCATGCAAGTGGTCACCAATAGAATTGACATATTAAATAACTGCTCAAAATATCATGCTTTCAGCAACATTTCAGAATGATTATCATTAAGTAAATAAACTAAATCCAATACTGATTGAAGACACTTTGGGATATACAGTTATTCACTTGCACTGTGTTGGATTAGAAGATTGATACAGCTTTTATGTCTGTTAAAGATGCCGCTACAGTCAACAGCAAAAATCTGTTTGTGCACAGCCCTGGCTCTGTAATTGGGAAACAAACACCATTGTAAGTTTTTAAAAAAGTAACAAATGTATGAGAAAAAAACTTTGAAATCACTATTTTTCCGATGTGGGTGTGTTATTACAGGCTGTGTGCGCAGTTAAAAGCAGGGTATGCAGATTTTAATAACAACAGCTGTCACACATAAGCTACTTTCACCAACCGGTATTATGACATACTTTCTTCTGTTCAAAGACCTAAAGCTTAAAGAACTGGGGAAGAACTGCAGACATTTATAAATGACATGAGATATGACACATGCTTTCAAGTGGCTTTGTTGCCTAACTGTCTGAAAACTCCACCTATTCTGTTATGTCTGCACTGTTTTTTTTTTTTTTTGTAAATTAATCTCGGGGAATATCTGTTGTTTTTTTTCTCGTGAATGTATTACTTCAATGGTTGAAATTCAAATTCAGTTTTTTTCTCTGAATATTACCCCCCTCCCCGGCTCCTTATTTTTATTTATTCTTTATCTAGAATATTCCTCATATGCCGTCGTACCAAAGCTCACAAGTTAACACGTTATAGCTCGATTGTTCTTGGCTTGAAGCACTGAGTTCCTGGAGTCTCTGCTGGTTGCCTGGCAACCTCACACTGTTGCATATGGTGTCATGTCTGTGTTCATACAGTAAACACATTTGAAAGGCAAATAGCATGAAAGGCAATAGCAACATCATTATTTTGTGCTACAGTTAAGAGTTTTGTGTATTGCTGTCTAAATGCTGTTTCAGAGGATATTTGTAATTCTGCAGACCTGTTGATGATGAATGATATTAGCAAAAGATATCATCTTCTCAGTACTTCAAATCCACAATATTTTGGTATTAAACTAAACAATATGAAGCTGATCAAAGCCTATCTGTAGCCAGAGTTAAAACCGTACACTAAAACTTCAATCAGCTGTGGTCTTTATGATTTTCTCTTTGAAGAGGGGAACAACATGAATACCATTCTTACCTGGTTTCTCCTGTAATTTGCAAGCATGTACCTCTATGCACTGTCAAATAGGGGCAATTCACTTTAAATGGGGCTTTGAATGCTAACCTCCCTTTCTGTTTTTCCCCCCTTCCTTCTACCCTTCTCACCAATCCTTCTCCAACACAGGAGCTGCACAGTACCCAGGTAAGGCTTTTCCCGTGTCTCTCTTCCTTATCCTCGCCACATCCTCTCACCAAATTTTAGCTTTCCAGCTTCTGTCTCATTAAACGACATGCTTCGTCTCAGCCTCTAGTGTTTGTGTATTGTGTACGACCAATCCTCAGTCTTTCTCCATCTCCATTCTCTAATTCTCCCTCACATTTAAATTTATATCTGCCTCTCTATTGCATTCTACACAGCCTATTTCTTCCCATTCTCATAACGCTGTCATTGCTGTGGACTGCTGCATCTTCACTTGCTTACCAATGTTCTATATAGCACTAGCTGTAGCATTCTAGTGAACACTGCAGTTAACCAGATAGTGCTAAGACAGAGCTCAATGATCTGAATAGTTTTATTCCAATTTATTTATTATTTTCTCAAAATAACAAAACGTTAGATGAAACCCTTTGTATCTTATAGTAATTGAGTTTCCAATTTCTGTGTTTGCACACACACTGTTTATAGACGGGACTTGCTTTGTTTTTTAGAAATAGCTTATATCCATAACCTATATGATACAGCATCCCCTGGTCTGCATGGCTACAGTGTTGGTGCTGGTTGTTGAGTCCTCAGGTAATTACTGTTCCAGTAAAGTGGATTCATTTCTAAAATACGCTGCTGAACTGCCGTCACTATTAAGGATGGGGTGCGGTGGTTGAAAGTAATTGTAACTTAACGAGTAACATGACTATTTACTTTTAATACCCAGTAATAAATAAAGTAATATTGTTACTTTTTAAATGAGTAAAAAGTAAAAAGTAACTCATTATAATTTCTGAGTAATTTGCCCAACACTGCAGCTAGATATGCCATATAAACTGATACGCCGCAAAGACTGCTGCTTTCTGTCCTCTGGTTGCGCATGCATCTCTCTGACGACGTTGCACAGAAACTCGTCTATAGGTTCTTACCTCTAACTGCATCTATGTATCAGATTTGTTTCAACTGATAAAGCTACATGTTTAAACCAGTTACGTTAATAGAATATATTTCAGTGCTTTCGTATTGCTTTTCATTGCTGTATCACTTCAATTAACTACTAAATATTTCACAAGTGCCATTCTTGAGATATGCATGTCATTTGTCATTTATAGCAGAGAAACAAGGACATGCAAGAAGTGTAGAGTTTTAGATGTTGACAAGCAAGGACAGCCACAGTTCTTTTGGCATTTTGTTCTGCATGTTTGGACTTGCAGTGGGTTTTTTTTCATTGTGTTGCTTATAGGTGCCAATGCATAGAAATGTGACATGTCCGTCACTGTCAAACTCAAAAAGGGTCAAAAAGCAGTGAAACATCTAGGCAGCAGTTGAAAAGAGAGTATGTACCTGCTGATCTTTGTTTCATTGGTAGCCAGCGATAGCTCTAGCACCAAAAACACATCCACGTGTTCTTCTCACCTCCTCTGTACACTCAAATCACTGCATGGGCTGTACAAACATACACAATCTAATCAGCATACTCAAATTAACACCGTCAGAGTTGATTTCAACACTTTTAAAGTGTCTGTATGGGTCCACACCACAGAATGTTAATTTAACTCTTTTTGGAGGGTTGGGACCTTGGGACCTTAACACTAATTTACGGTCATTTTTCATTTTACGGACTCTTTTTGGAGTTAAAATTTAACACTTCTTAACCCTGACCAGTGTTTGTTTTTCTTAATATGTTTATGTAGTGTTAGACATTAACTCTCTCAGAGGATAATTTGTTAACTACACAAGTGTTAGCTTCATAACATTTAAAGGTGTAAATACAGATTTTCCATAATCCTAAAAAGTATTTGGAAAAACAGGGTGGCTACTAACAAGGTGGCTACTAACAGTGTGGCGACATGAGTTTAAATTTGGGTGTGTGTAGGCCTACGTAGTGGGTGCAGGGTGACAAGAACACTTTAAGTGTAAAAGCCAGGATCAGAGTTAAAAGTAGGAAGTTCAGAGTTAATATTTATACAATTACAACTACAGGCTTGATTTAGTGACACTTTGTTTTTAAACTCTGTTTTGACACTAACTACATATTAACTGAAAATTAAATATAATGGATTTGACTCTGAGAGTATAATTAACTCTACATTTACTCAAATTTCACTAACATTTAACAATTTAACTCTTCTCAGTTTGCTGTGTAGGATAGCAAATTATCATTCGTAAAAAATGGCCAGTTAAAAAAACAAAACATTCCTCTGAGTTTGTCCTTTCAGCAGAAATGCTGATTCATTCCACTCACTTGTACGTGGCTCTTCTTTTGATTGCTGTAAAGCTACTGTTAATTAAACCCAAAACTTCCTGCATATGTTTCAAATTAAAAGCCAGCCAGAATTTTCCACTTAGAAACATCTGTGCTGAGTATTATTAACAGCAGCTTAACAATCAAAGTAACAAGTAAACATTATAAAAGGAATAAAAGGTTATAATGGTTAAAAATAAAATTTAATAAAAAAAACATAATTGGTGCCTGGTCAGAATGTGCTTCCACAGCTGCTCTTATGAGAAAAAAATTGTATGCTGTAAATCAAGTGGTGTTGCTTCTCTAGCTGCCTTCACTCCCCCTCTCCCCTGCCTCTCCTCTACCAAGGCTTTTAATCCAATTAGCAGTGCTAGCGACAGTTATTTATATGTACATGAATTAGAATTGAACAGTGAGAGATCCTCCCTTGGGGCTGATTGGACTGAGCCCAGTCCTTCACAGGCCCGTTCTCGGTCACAAACCTGTGCTGCTGCCACCAAGCAGTGGTGGTCATTGCAGCTGGTTGCCAACAAAGCAGCAACAGAAACTCAAACCAACATGACTGCCAATGACAATCATCATCTCATCTGACTTTAACGTAAAAACCAAATCAATGTACGCTTTTTATCCAGAGCAGAAATAGTTATTGTTGAAATACTATTTCATCTCCTCAATGTTAGCTTTTCTTAAACTGTCAAGACTAAAGACACATTTGACAAATTGGGGCACTCTAATAAGCTGTCTTCTCAGTGTTCAGGTTAATCTTAGATCTGTGTTTCTATTGCATTCTATTGCGTTGGACTGAAATAGTAGATGTGCCAAATGACTATATAACCTGCCAAATATGGCTCTCTTACTCTTTTGAACTGTTTGCCAATGATTGCAGTGCTTTCAAAGGGTTAGAAAAAGTCATGGTGCAATGTTGGCAGCATAACCATTTAATGGTTTTAAAAACAGTATGTTTGAAATTCATTTTTTAGAATGTTTTTTAAAGTTGGATTCATTATTGATGCCCTTTTTAGTCTAGTCACACAGATGTTAATGTTTATAGTTGTTAGTGTGCAAAGTCACTTGCAAAATGATACACTAAAAGTCTTTAATTTCCTCTAAAAAGAGGCAATTAAAGAACTTCATAAAATGTCCAGAGAGCATCTTTTGGCTTAAATAAATTAAAATCAACACCAGTATTGCATTAGCTTTGATTAATATTCATTTGTTCTAACTTTGTAATAAGAGCGCTCCTTGCCTGGCAAGTGTAATAAAAATAACAAGATGGAAAACGCATGTAACAGAAACAAAAGTAAAAATATTTCCAAGATTCTTTATGTGTAGCCAAAGCCAGTCTTTAATGTGATGAGCTCCTGACCTCCATGACTCCATAAAACAAAAGCTTATTTTCAATTATAAATTGACAACAAACAGATGGATGGGACATTACATTTCTTAATGCTTCCACAACCTTTCATAACAGCATTAATTCTCCTAGATTCTCCAAGTCTGTGGAACTCTGCTGGAGTTGTTTTCCTGATGCTGGTGGAGTGTGCTGTTTAACAAGTCACACCAAAGTCTCCCATAAGCAAGGCTGGAACACCAACCAGTTAAATTTTCTGACATGTTATAGACCTTAAAGATAAATTATATGAATCAACAAATTGCTAATGAAAAAAAATTGCTCAGGGGGATCAATTAGAGCCAATAATAAATCTTTGCACGGGGCCCTCTACCAGGTTATTCTGGGCCTGCCCATAGGTGTTCAGTTAGCTTTATATTTGGTGACTGTGGAAGCCATAACATATGATTCTTATCATGATCATGCTTGTAAACCCATTCAGTGAGCCCCGTATGGAAGCATCTACAATCGGTATGTTTTTTCTTTAAACCTTCACCTGTTTATACTCGTGTACTGCCAAAGCCTAGATGCATGTTAATATTATTTTACATACACGGTGAATACGACAGGGTCCACAAATGGATCTATGGTGTCTGGAGTTGTTTAGTTTGTGTGTGGTTCAACATTATACACTGTGATTGATCAGAGAGATAACTGCAAAACCATCAAACAACAAACGCAATGGATGAAAACAAGACTTATCAGCTGTTCATTCTCTAGAATCAAAGTCCAAGACTGTTATGAGAACATTCATTAACAAAGTAAAATGTACTGTATCCTGATGCTGGCCATACTAATAATATATTATTATACTTATTGTTAGTAGTATAAGTAAAGTAGTAAAGTATGAACTAAATGCATGATGATGATATCAGAATAATTTCTTTCCTTATTTCACTGGAGTAAACCAGTGCTAAAAATGGACCATTTTTAAAAGACCGTATAGCAAAATATTTCTTGTTGTCAAAGGTCACAGTGCTGCTTTAGTTGACCTGCCACTACAGACAAGACTTCTCTTCCCCCCAGCGTGGGTGACTTGTGTGTTTGTTCTGTATGCCAATCAATAGAATGAAAGACGAGAGGATGGAGGTGGGCTGAGGGACACAGCAGTTAAACACAAGGAGTCTTATCCATGTGTGCACAGAGGCTCTTTAAACACACACAAACACATGCATTTATGTGTGTGCGCACACACATATATATATATATATATACACACACACACACACACACAAAGAGTACAGCTCAGATTAATGACTAAATCAATCACACGCATATAAAGTTTGCTTGTCATACTGTGTGCTTTTCTTTTATAACACAGGTTCAATTTCCCAAGCTACTGAAGCTCTATCAGCGTTTCCTCAG